TGGGGGGGGAAATGTGTGTCTGCGCTTCCCCTGGGAAAGGCTACAGACAGAAAAGATCAACCGCTCACCCCAGAGAGGACCCCCTAAGGATCAAGGCAGAGCCACTACTTGTAGCAGCCGGCTGGTGGCAGCACGGGAAAGATGCATGAAGGTCTCCCTGAGCTGTACAGTAGATCCTGAGCGCTCTCCCTCACCATCCCGCGTAGTTCGGTTTGATGCTGTGCCTGTAGTGCTGCAAGAAGGAGCACGATGGTGAGCAGGCAGGAATGGGACTGAGAAAATGCACAGCAAAGAGCCCATCTCTGTGCTTGCCCCGGAGGAGGCAAGCAGCAGGGACGTCTCCAAAAGAGGCGTCCTCATGAAGGAATAAAACTTGTCCCCACGCACTCAGAACTGCCCTATCTCTCCCACCAAAATATAACAGCTGGGGTAAAAGAGATCTTGAGCAAAAACTCTCCCCTCACCTGGCAAGTGCTTGAATCCCATCTGCGCTGTGGTTTGCAATGTGACTTCCTTCTCCTTGAAAGGAGAGAAGTTAAGCTCCTGAGGGCCAGAGAAAGGTGATCCCACCCGGAAAAGGCAAAGGGTGCGTCAACAAAGGGGATCATGGACACCAGTCCCCAAATCCTGCCCTGCTGTAACGCTAAACCTTCCTCATTGTTGCCACCATGGGTAGAAAAAGATTGAGCTACCCTTGGCACTGAATAGATACAAAAGCAAATTTCTTCCTTTTCCTCAAAAGCATTCCAGGCATAGAGCATATTTATGGATGGAAATAGTACAGGGTGAGGCACAATATTTATTGTGCTCAGTTAAGCAGAAAGCCAAGCCCAAAATCATCAGCAAAGATAAGTTCATCACCTAAACCACCTTCTCTCAAGGGAAGGGATCCCACGCAGGTAGGGAAGATGGGTTTGACAGGGTGGCTTTGCTCTATCTGTGGTGACCATGACCCTGCAACCGAGCGGTCTGTGCCATGCTTAGCAGTGCTGTCACCTCACACCCTCCCCGGGTAAATAACCCTTATCTCCTCATCTCTCTTCTGTTTCCCCAAAATCAGCTATTGCACAAAATGGATCACATGAGTTTCTCTGAGAAGCCCATGAAGCACTGCTGTCGGCTCCAGACATGGTATAAATCACAGAGACATCCCAACAGGTATAAATTCATTGGCTGACCAAGCTGCAGCAACGGGGAAACTTCTCAGCCTGCCAAGAGCAGAGATTTGGATCCCAGGCACCAAAACAGGTTGGTGGAATGGCTTTGTTTGAATGGTTACTTTGCCTTGTTTCATGCTTTTTGTTGAGAATCAATAAGTCCCCGGTTTGGCACAGGCAAGAGGCTTTAGTGGGAGTGACAGCAGACACAGCTTGCATCCTTCTTACAGGAACTGGTTTAAACCATGATGCGATGCTTCAAAGACTCCCAGGGCTTTCTTACCTTTCAGTGGCCTGTTCCTCAGCCAGGAAGTATGACATTTTCTTCAGAATGTTTAGTGGTTGACATTTAGAAATCAAACCACATTGGCCATTTGCCCCAGGATATTTGATCCTGTAAGTGCTTTCCTGGTGCTTTTCCAGTATCTTGCATCAATAAACACCTAAACGCTCTGTGACAAATTAGGCATGCTTTGTTAAACTGACCTGGGATTCCCCCCCCCTCCCCATGCAAAAGCATCTTAAGCAAGAACTCAGCCTTCAGGGAACCAGGAAGAGAAAGGTTGAAAATGAGCTCATCCCTCTTCTTGCGCTCCCTGTCTCAGCCTTCCCCGTTCCTCTGATACGTCCTCTCCTCCTCATCACATGCTCTGCTTTCGTCCAGCCCTGGACTATTCAAAATGAAGTGACGCCTCCCATTCATGGGGCTCTCCTCCCAACAGCATTAACCCTCAGCTAAAGCATTAGCTGCACCATGACCGAAGAGCCCGTGCGGAAGGACAGTGAGATCAGACGCCCCAACTCCAGCATGGGCTGTGGACACAAGGATGACAAAGCCAGCCTGGCTTCGAGCCAGATAGCATCTTTCAGCCACCAGCCTCATCAGCCCCCCTCCACTCCTGCCTCCAAGGAAGTGTGGAAAAAGGGCGGCCGCATGTTCTCCATCCTGCTGGCTGTGCACTTAGCCCTGCTGGCATGCACACTGGTGAGCAGCGGGGCTTTTGAGAAGATTGCTGTGCATGACTATGATGTCTTCTTCCTGCTGACTGTCATGATGCTGATAGTCATCATATGGATCATCTTCTACCTCGCTGGCACCTCCCGCTCCCCAGATGCCATCCTCTGCAAAGACTCCCACGCTGGGCCCATCTGGCTGAGAGGTAGGAGCTCTCGGGGGCTAGGGCTGGGGGTGAGATGCAGGTGGACCGTTCATGGGGGCATCAGTTCTTTCAAGGGAAACAGCAATCATCTGGGGCACAGACTCCTCCCCTCTTGCCAAGGCCTGGCACCATGCCCTGCTCCTATTTAGTGGAGGGAGTAGGTTAGCTCCTACTCCCTCCACTGGCTTCACTGCCAGGTCTCCCTTTATCTGCAAGGGCTTCTGGTACTTTACACCAACCTTGCCATTGCTTTTGCAAGAGCTGTGAGTCAGACTACAGGGTTGACTGAAAATCCCTTCCAGCCAAAATTATTGCACACTTCTGTTGGTGTCAAGATAATTTGGGTGCTGGGAGAGGAAAAACAGAGGTAGAAGCAAAGCCTCTCCATGACAATAGTTCCTCTTCTTCCTCTCATCTATCTGGATTAGCCCACATATGCATACATCTGTCCAACCACAGATATTTTGGTTCCTCAACAGGAGGCCTGATCCTATTTGCCATTTTCAGTCTTGTCATGGATGTGTTCAAAATAGGATATTACTCAAGTTTCTACAGCTGCCTGTCTGCAATCAAAATAATCTACCCCATTGTGCAAGCAATATTCGTGGTCATCCAGGTGAGAAGGTTGTACTCGGTCTCGGGGATGGATAGAGAGACAGAGCCACCAGCAGAAGAAGCTCTGATCTTGTGGACATAGTTTAGCTCCACCAACAGCAAATGCAAGTGTCTTAACTCAGCCTCTGCCCAGCTCACATCACCCTCCAACCACAACTTCCAGCTGTGGCAACTCACTTTAAGGAATTGATTTTAACTTGTTCCCTTCCTGGGACATTCTGGCTTATGCCAGGGCGGCTTGTCACAAACTCTAAGCAGCTCCCATCCAGCCAGGTCTCCTCTCCCATGAAGAACAGAGGGAGAAGGACAGGAGGACTGTCTTGCAGTTTGAAGTCCTACACAGAGGACCTCCTGCTCTGGGACAATACCCAGTAGGTAAGAGGTCAGATAGGGACAATTTAGACAGGAACAGGGGCTGACCATGGGCAGAGCAATGGCAGTGGGACAGGGCAGGAGGAACAAAGAAAGAACAGACCACATCCAGCAAATGGCCAGGATTATGGGCTAGTAGGCTGGGCCCAGATGGACCCAAGCAAAAGAGGCTCCAACTTGCTCTCTGCTGAGCAGGGAGATCCCTGCTTCAGAAAGATGTGATTTGCTTTCTTGTTTTGTTGGAAATAACTTCTTTTTTTTTTGCCCTTGTCAGACGTACTTCCTGTGGATCTCTGCCAAAGACTGCGTCCACGTACACCTGAATGTTACCAGGTGAGCAACGCCACTCTGTATCCCACTGGCCCAGAAGACCTGGGCCACTGCAAACCTGCAGCACTCAGTTAAGATGCAACAAGCAATCTTGCTTAATGCAGGCCAAAACTAAACCTGCTTAGTCTCCAGTTAGCCTTAGATCCTAGCTCAAGTGGTTGAGGTTCATGATCCATGAATCTAGCAGGGTTGGGATTCAATTCAAGAATACAAGCATTGCTCAAAGCAGATAAGTATTAAATTAATAATTAGTGTTAAATAAAATGATTCATAGCTGACTTTTGCTCCCCTGGGGAAGGCAACGATGCAGTGGGCAAGCCTCAGGCTAAAACAAGACCTTGTCCACTTTTGCAAGACTGGATCCTACTGGAGACCAATCCAGACCTATTAAACCATTCACTATTGAGAAGCTCTTCCAAAACCAACAAGAGAAATCAGGTCTTGCTAATTCTCATGACCATGAACAAAACATAGAGAGTGAGAGCAGCAAAGCAAGGGTCAGGATTTCTACCCTTGACCACTAGAGCCCTTGTACCACTTCAGGCAGCTCCCACAGTCCCTCTGAGCACTTGCACATCTATAACACAGATAGGAGCAACATGGCCTGGAGCCATTGCTTTAATTTCATGAACCTTCTTCTTCTGTAGGTGTGGCTTGATGCTAACACTGACTACAAACTTAGCGGTGTGGATGTCAGCAGTGACAGATGAGTCTGTTCACAAAGCACATTCAAAGTTGAAGAAGAACATGACAGAGGAAATCTTCAGATGGATCCTGAAAGGTAATCTGCCCTTTTGTGAAGCCATCTCGTCCACAGAGGGAGCCCATGAGGTAGAAATTGTTCTGCAAGTCAGGTTTTATCCCTTTTCAGAAGGCCTATTGAGAGCTGAAGGTTCCTTTAACAGAGCTGCTGTATTAAAAGCCAGGTCTTAAAGTTCATTTCTTAAGCTGTATCACAGAGAAGTCTGAAAGGTGGAAAGCCCTGGACAATTGCGATGGGAATGAAGAAGGGAAGGAAAAAGAGAGATTTAACCTGCCACCTAACTTCTTCAGAAAGAACATGAGCATCAAAAAGCTGAGGTTGAAGTGTCCTTGTTTTCAAAGTGGTCACATAGTCTTCTCTCCTTGGTCTTGTTTTTCACTGGCCCCAAGTATCCAGTTCTTCAGGGCTGCTAACGAGTGCTGGCTCCTTGTTTTAACACCACTGCATCTGTATGTTTTTATCTTGTTTCAGCGGGAATGAGAAGTAGCTCAGCCGAAGAATGCAACTGCAACAGCCAAATCTGCCAGATCTTCAAGAACGGCTACTTTTGGCTGTACCCCTTTAACATTGAGTACAGTCTCTTTGCCTCTGCCATGGTCTACGTCATGTGGAAGAATGTTGGACGCTTCATAGACCACCACTCCCACCACATTCACCGCCTGAAGTTCAGGCTCTTCCGAAGGACCTTCTTTGTAGGCATCGTGTTGGGCCTCATCATTCTGGTGAGTGGTTTGGGAGTCCTTATTCTTTATGAGGTGCAGGTAAATTCCAGCACTGAATACAGCAAGAAGAGCCAAGCACTCACCATGTACTACATCTTCAACATTGTCTGTCTGGGCCTGATGTCTCTGGTCTGCATTGGTGGCTCTGTCATCTACCGGTTTGACAAGAGAGACATGGATCGGCACAAGAACCCAACCAGGACCCTGGATGTGGCCCTGCTGATGGGTGCAGCCTTGGGGCAGTATGCTATTTCTTACTACTCCATTGTGGCCATTGTAGCCAGCACACCAAGGGATGCTATCAGTGCACTCAACCTCACCTACGCCCTCCTAATGATTGCTCAGCACACCTTCCAGAACATCTTCATTATTGAAGGCCTTCATCGGCAACCCCCCAAGGAAGACCACAAGCATGATACTCACCAGAAGGATCTCTATGGACTCACCTTTGTCAACATCAACGCAGTGTCCCTCCGTATGCCCGACAGTGGCAGCGCCTTGGCCCCCAGTGCTGCCTCTGGCACTGAGGCCATCCATCCTTCTGACCTCGTGCGGTCCCTCACCGCCCCCAAGAAGATGAACTGGAGGAGGAAGTTCTTAAGGGAGATCTCCATGTTCCTCCTGCTGAGCAATATCATAGTGAGTACATGCAGAGAGAAGAGTTTGTTACAGTGGGGAAGAGGGAAGCAAGCACAAGGGAAAAGTGTCTATGAAGGAAAGGATGTGGCCCATGCAGAAACAGTCCTTTCTGTGCCTCTGCTATACAGAAAGCACATTTACTTACATTTGTATGTGCAGAGAGCTGGGATTTCCTTGTCACTTAAAAGCAAGACCAACTGCCCTGGAGTTAAGACATTTTGGGCTATGCCAATAGATCTGTCACTTATCAGCACAATATCAGACAATAAAATCAGTGGGTACAAGAGAAGAATCAGTTTCAGTATTTTTACTGGGTATTAGCTGATATGTAGAATAGCTTACTAAAAGAAATAAACTACATTAAAACTTCCCTTTACACCCCCAAAGAACAGACGTAAAGTGACAAATACCTGGGATGAAATCTGGGTTTTCTTGAAAAATGGCAGCATATCTCTTCTCAAAACCCATGGCCTAGGAGCCCAAACACTGATCCCCGCTGCTGTGAGGAGAAACTGGTCACTGGTAACTTCAGCTGGGGTTCCCACTTTCATAAGCAGCCAGGTGACCTCAGTTTCCTGCATAAGAAATGTAGGATTACAGCTGCACCTCCAAAGCAGCCAAGCACATGCTGTGTCTCAAGAGAACTTCCAAATCCCCAGCTAGTCAGTCACATCATGTCCTCAAACTGATTTTACACATAAGCTCACAGAGAATAAGCTGACAACCCCCATGCAACAAGATACACGTGCTGGGTGGGCTTCTGAGCAAGATGCACACAACCAAGCCTGGGGAGACCAAGCTGCTGCCAGCTCAGCCCTACCCAGGCTTGCTCCATCCAAGGAGTTTGAACAGGTCAGGTGCTTGTTGTACCACACACCTTTCTCACCGCAGTGTTATTTTCCCATTTCTTCAAACAGCTCTGGATCATGCCAGCGTTTGGTGCCCGGCCACAGTTTGACAATGACACAGAACTGAACTTCTATGGTGATTCCATGTGGCCGGCCATCGTGGACATTTGCCTGCCCTTTGGGATCTTCTACCGAATGCATGCAGTGGCCAGTTTGCTGGAGGTCTACATCATGTCCTAAAGAACTCTCTCACAAGGAAGATGAGATCCTCCTCAACCAATCCACCTTCTTCCTACCCCAGGGCTAAGAGACTGCCCAGATGTCCTGAGGGGTCCCCAGCACCCCTTGAATCATGTCCCCTTGCAGTGTTGGGGCATTTATGAACTGTTAGTGAAGATCATCCAAACATAGTCCAGATTTTATTTTTGCTACTTGTGTGTGGATGTGCATGTGTGTGTCTGAAGTTCTTAGAGCTTAAAAGAAAAAAAGATAAAAAAAGGAAGGTGTAATTACCCTTGGTTCATGTGGAGACTCACCTTCCTTCTCAAAAGCCTGTTCACTCCATGCCACTGATGTACTCCTCAGCGGGTGCTCGGCACCCTCGGACAGTCAGTGCCTGCCTGCACGCGGAGACCCCGCAGGTACGAGGGGCTAACGCAGGCGTGGAAGGCAAAGAAAGGGAAACCACTTCAACTTCTGGTACGGCCAGTCGGAAATCACTCCCCTGCAGAGATGTGAAAAACAAACCGGTGACCACCAAAGGCTTTGGGAAACATTTTAATCTTTCCTCTCTCTATTGCCCATTTATGTTGGCCCTCTTGACTCTTCCCTGTATCAGTCCCTGCTGTTTTCCTTCCTCTCCAGGGAGGCATCACTGCTGCTGAGAGGGTTTGCTCGCTGCAGCCTCCCCTTCCTGAGGGCCAGGTCATCTCTACAGGAGAGCTGTGCATGTGATGCTGGGCTGACCCTGATACAGGACTGCTCTAAGCACAATTTTTTCCCAGTTTTCCTGAATCAGGGCTTGAGAAATATAAAGATCATATGGGCAATACAGTTTGGGGAATGATAAAGAGATTTGTTTTTCTTTTTCTTTTTTTTTTAATAGATAATGATTTTTTTAATATATGAACATTTTTGTACGTGAAGTTATTTATTGATTTTCACTGTAACACTGCACTCCTGAAGGGACCTTCTGTGACCTACAACACAGAAATCAATCTAATGCTTTGGATAATTTGATCTCCCATGCCCTGAAGGGATGCTTGAGCTGCACCCCCAAGCCTGTGTGCGCTTTGAGGCTGAGAGCACAGCCCCAGCACCCAGGCAGCCCTGTGCATGTAGCAGTGGGGCCCCAACACAAATTTCTGGGTGCCTGCAGCTCTCCGTGAACCACTATATGATTGAGGGGGCTTTCAAAGCAGAACTCCTGGGCTGCAGGAGGTAGAAATGGGCCCCTCTGCTGTACCCAGAGTCCAAGTGGAGCCTCAGAAAGCCCAGGCCGCCAGGTCGAAAGGGTGCATGCCAAAATGGCACAGCTGAGCTTTGTCTCAACCCTGAGACATCAGGGTTTACTGTTCCAATAAAGCGTTTATTGTTCTGTCAGGGTTTATCATTCCAATAAAGAACACTGCAGAGGTAGCAGAAATCATCAAGCCTTTTCCTACGGACGTGTGTGCATCTGCCAAAGGAAAAAAAAAAAATAAACGGAAATCACAGTACTTGAAATGGAGTGATGTGATTTTCCACCCGCCAGCCCAGGCTCACATGTTTCAAACCTTTCCCCTCCAAACTTAGATCACCAAACCAGAAGGGACCAGTGCCTCTGGCTGGTCTGACACTAGCCTGCCTGCCAGCAGCCTTTGTCTGAGGCGGGTAAAAGATGGGGTAAACCCTGATTTCCTCTGCCCCCAGAGGACTGCACCAATCCAGCATCTCTGGGGTGGGTCAATCCTTCCTTTCCATTGATCTGATAAAGATACAATCTCTCCCTAGAAACTTCACCTTTCATGAAACAAAAGCCTTATTAATTTCAACTGCAGGAGCCACAGATTAAGGCAGAAAAGAGACGTAAATGGTGCACAGACGTCAGTCTTACGTACACTCCTACACATTGTTTTAGCACAAGCTGCTGAGCTCTGACTGGCACAGGAAACATTTTTAATCACCTACTCTGTTCCTGGAGGGCACATCAGATTTTCCTCCTATGCACTCTTGCTGGTGTCTGGTCCCAGGTTCCCACGGCTGGGCTCACCAAGCCAGGCAGGGCAGAGTCTGACCTGCTCTTTTGTCCCAGACAGTAACTGTAGTGGCACTTCTGGGGATAAATAAACTCAGAATGGGTGTAAGGAGAAGCCCACGACAGCCCAAGCAGCACTGATACAGGCAATAATCCCAAATCAACCCCTCCAGGGTGGCGGGTCAGCAGGAACCACAACATCCAAACACAAGCAATCATACCAGGGTAAAGCAAAAATGCTCTGGGTACAGCACAAGCTCTGCAAGGCCCCTTGCTAACCTGAGGCATCTCCAGGCTGCAAGTGCAGGGGCAGCAGGGATTGCCAATCAGGAGCTGTGTTGTTCTGCCCTCCAGACATTCCTCTTGGGAGAGGCAGCAGATGGAAAACAACCATCAGTGAGCCCTATGTGTATACCCAGAAAGGGGGACAGAGGGCAAGTGAGCACCCACAAGTCCAAAAAGAAAAAAGGACAAAACCAAAAACCCAAACCCTAAGAAAACCCCACTGTAAACACGGGCCCTGCTGTGTGCTCAAGGATTGTCTAACGGAAGGTATCAGCTAGCCATCAGTTAGAGTGCAAAGGGGTCACCTCCAAGGCTGATGAAGAATCAGCCAAATGTCTCTGGGCAACTCCTCCCAAACACAGCCAGCACCCCAGGCATGTCACCCAAAGCTGGGTGCACCCCCAGAGCCGGCACTGCCACCCCTAGTTGCGTGGATCTATGCCCTTCCCCAGGACTCTGCGCTGTCACTGTCCCCTTCACCATGGACTCGGGACACGGCCCCTCACAGCCCAGCTAAAGAGTCTCTCCCTGACAGAGAGTTTTGTGAAAGGGGAGAACACCCCAAATGCAGAGTACCTGAGTAACGTGAAGGGGTCCCGCTTGGTCCTTTGTACACATGTCCTCGTGACAGATCCCTGTGGAAGAGCCCTGCTGTTAGCTCCATCTTCCACACCTGGGAGGAGGGAAATTGAGGCATGGGAGCTGGGCAAACAGAAAGCCTGTGTCAGAGCAGAGAATGAGGCTGAGCCCCCAGGCCCCCGGCAGCATCCTGCATTAGGGAACGGGGAACAGGAACAACGATGTGCCTCAGGGTGACTGTTTAAATGGTAGCAGCTGCAAATGAAGGGCTACAGGAAAGCAAAGGGCTGCCCTGAGGCTCTCATGTCTTGCCAGGGGCATCCAGTCTGGCTCACTTTGGCATAAAAGCCATCTTGGGATCAGAGCACCTGCTGTGCTGTAGAGGTTTGATGGGAGTACTGAACCCCAACAGCAAAAATGACTCCTCAAGGTATGGCAGGGTTAAGAACCCAGCTCTGACCATGCTCAAGGAGCACCAGCCCTGCAGATCCAGCCCCAGGACGCAAGCCACTGGTGTGAGTGCCAAAAAGGTTCTGATTCAGACCCTGGCCTGAGGCACATGGTGCCAGAGCCAGCAAGGGAGAGCAGCAAGAAGGTGAAGAGAAAGAGCAGGAGATCAGAAATCACCACTCAGAAAAAAGTAGGGAAGGCCATAGCCAAGGCCAGAACTGAGTCATCATCCCACTGCTACCAGGGTCTTGCATCCCCTCCTCTGCTTCTTAATCATCTGTTATTTGAGGGTGAGTTTTGTTTTAGTAGTGGGGGAAAAAAATAAAAGCCTTTTTATCTGGGTGATTGGTTCTGAGGCGTGTCAGGGACAGGGGAGGAATCCAAGTTAATTATTATCTGTCAATATGGCAGCTGGAAAGTGGATGCATCGAGAAGGTCACAAGGCTGGAGATGAGGGATGGGTTTGCAGCACAAGGCAAGGTGCAGCCTGCGAGGAGCAGGGCTGGGCCCGGGTGTGCTGGGAGCCAGGGCAGGAGGTGGTGGTGGAGGAGACACTTCCCAGGGACCAAGGCAGTGGTCCTTACCTGTAAGGAGAAACAGCACTGGCAGGAGATCAAAGAGACCTTCACTGAGGGCAAGCAGGGAAAACACAGAGCCGTGCTTCACGCGTGGAGCCAGCACATACCCATGGAGGTACAGGGAGGGACGGAGCTGGGGCCGTGCAGCACGGCTCACCCTCACCCACGCTGGATGAGGCTGCTCTCTACAGACACCCCTAAAGGTGCTCACTCACCAGCCCCACGGAGACGTCACCAGCGCGGTTATCGGCGGGGAAGAAGGAAGGGTGTGGGCCGGCTGGGGAGTCGCGAGGCGCACGGCATTCCTCAGTCGGCCTTTGGGCAAACACAGCGGCTGGGCACCAACCTCCTTCCTCCCCGCGTCCTGTTTACAGATCCGCTTGGCCCAGCCTGAGTGTTATTACTGCTAAGTGCACAGATAACGCCATTAATAAGCACACTGCAGATAGCAGAGGGGCAAACATCGCTCCTAATGTTTAGCAGCTTTCTCTCAGCCTCTGAGTAAAGGCAGCTTCTCCAGGGCAGAGCAGAGCAGTGATTTATGTGATCGATCCAGTTAGTTCAACCCATCCTCTCCCTTCCTGCCTCTCTCCTGCGTGCTTGCTTACTTAATGACTTGGTTAAACCTGTGTCAATATATCCAAGTTAAACAGCTGCTGTTCTTCAACATAAAGGCCAAATTAGGAGCATTAACCAGTCCCCCAAGGCTTTACAACTCCTCTGGGTTCAGTCTCAGCTCCAAAGCCACAAGTGGGCAAGTCAGGGTAGGAAGGATGCCTCATCTTTGCAGCCCAGACACACAGTCCCACCGGCAAAACCACTGGGGCACAGCAGGGCCTGAACTAAAATGTTGGAGTTACCTTTAAAAGAAAAACCTCCTGCTTCACCCAAACTTTTTTTCCCCAGGATATATTCAGACTCCTGGCCTCCATTTCCCAGTTCTGCAGAGCCACCCCAATTTGGGATCATGGCACTGAGAAACAGCCAGGTTTGTTAACATCTTGCATGTAAATCATTGGCTTTTTGTTGAACAAGGAGGCCACCACATAGCTCTTGGGAGATCCCCGTTCCCTGCTAACCTCTAGAATGGGGTCCAGAGAAAAGCCAGGCAGCTAAAGGTGAGCCAAATTGCACTCAGAGGATCCCAGAGCATCAAAGCAAGAACCAAGAATATGGTCGTCCAAGCAGGCTGGAGATGCTGATGCTTCAGAGGAAAGCAGAACAAATCGAGCCATGGATATTCATAACAACCTGCCCAGATGAGAGCGTCCAGGCTCCACCACAGCAGTTCAACGGTTTGGTCAGACATTAAACATGACCGTTTTGCTGGCAGACATTAAATGCAGCAGCTACCCCAGTGCACACTGTGTGTTCTTGCCCAGGAGCAAAGGGCCCCTTTCACTCTTGTTTTCCATCCCTTTCATCACATCCCCACACATGATAACCTGTGCTCCCCCACCCACTCCTACCCCTAATCAGCTTCTTGGGAAGTGTTTCATGGCTCTGAACTCCCAGCTCATGTGTTTGCCAGCTGCAAGAACACCAGGGCTTGGGGGTTCATCCAGGGACACACAAACAACTTCACTCCTTCCATGGAGAGGTGCTTCCTCTCCTGATGGACCCTCTAGACTCCCCAACTCAATCAGGAATGCCAAATCCCCGTTGCCAGCCACAAAACCAGGGGGATCAGCTCACCACAGAGTCCCAAGACAGAAATCAGTTTGCCCTGCAATAGGAGAGGGAACAAGGACAGCAAGCTTGGACCTAAAGCATCCCCAACCCCACATGGCTGACCCTGTGGGGTTTGCACGTGAGTATCTGGCTCTGAGATCAGCATTGATAGGTCATAGCTATCACCCCCAAAAGCAGCAACCCTTCTGCCAGAAGTCCATTAAATTGGCGTGGTCCCTGCACCTAGGCTGGACTCTGAGGTTTGCCTTTTGGGTCAGTCTGGGTATCTGTGCTCTGGATAAAGGCACAAAGTAATGGTATACCTGAGAAAAAAATCTTAAGATCTACCTAAAAACAAGGGAGTGGGGAACTCAAGTGGATTTTAGCCAAAGCAGTGTGGCTAAGCACTCCCAGCACAAGCCTGTGCCAGGAGATTAGCTCTATACTTGCCCGAGCCATGGCACAAATTAGTCACCGCAGCTTGTGGTTTTACCAGTTGGCACATCCTGTGCCGAGGCCGTTGACATGGGGCAACTCAGCAGGTGTATAAAGGAGCTAATCCCCATTGGCTGCCCATGGCAGAGTTGAGAGCTTCTCACTGAGTAATTAGTATAATGACAATAATAGGCCCAAAGTAAACAAGGTGGAAAAAAAAAAATCAATGGGCTGGGAGCAGAGGCCGCAGTCAGTGGAGAGCAGTCCTGACGGCTTCTGCCACCAGCTTGGTCCATCAGAAAGACTCACATGCATCCTGGTGGTACTCCAGCGAGTGGTTTTAACATCGGCTGTAACCGAGGCTGTGCCGGCAGCTGCTCCCACTTGGCAGGCAGCAGGAGGCTGCAGGGAGGTAAGGGCTGGGGCTTGGCTGCTCTCAGCAGCACGCACCAACTGGGTCAAGGGGTTGGGTCCACGGCAGCAGCTACTGTGTGCAGCTTGTCTGGGCACTGGGGTACCTCCTGATGCAGCCTGGATGGGTTTTCATCTCATCCTTCTGATTTTATGGTCTCTCCTCTCCCTCCCCTGTTCCCAAAGCAGAGGAGTTATGGCCCTAGGAGACGGGAGGGCATTTGCTCCTGCACTACTAAGTTAGGAGAGTTTTGGAGCCAAATGGGGAAGAGTTTAGGATCAATCTCCACTAACAGAAGTGCACGGAATCCTCAGAGACCAAAGAGACAGAGCACGCCAGTGCATGTGCAGAGGAAGAGGGAAGCACTGAAACTTCAACCCTCCTCAGACAACTTCTCTCCTAAAGCATCAAGACAACTACATTTGATTCTCCCCATCCTCAAACACATCTCAGGGGTCTGCTTTCACTCCAGCCACCCCCCACTGCAGCCAGAGCGGCTCCCTGGAGTGAAGGCACCTTCCATTTACTGAATCTATAGAGGCTGATCTTGCCCGGTTGCTGTACACAAGCAAGGAGGTTTCTCTCTCATGGGCAATACGGTCCTACTGAGAATTTTTCAAAAGCTGAATAGAAAAGCTCCCAGGCACTGGGTGTTTATCTGGGCCAATCCCTCAAAGTTCTCTGTGTCACTGTGCTCACGATTCTGTGTTTTTTCCTCTGTGCTACAAGTAGAAAAAGAAAGAAAACCAGGTATTAACTTTGTCTCAATCTCATCCTGCTTGGGTAGGAGGTTGAATCTTTTCCTGGTAGCTTAGATCAAAACTTACAGACCCTCATTTTATTCTCTCCAGCTCTGGCACAATTTCCACGTCCATACGAGGAGTGTGGTGTAACTCTCACAGCCCAAAAACACAAGGAAAAGGTTGGACACATCAACCAAAATCAAACAGCTCTGAATTTTAGAGCAGGTCTGAGCTTGCTCTGTATTTCCACCTAACCCTTACTTCAACAAAAGGAAAGGAGGAAACCTGAACCCAGGGCTGTACACAGAGGTGTGAAAGGTGAGAATAGGAACTGTTTGGGCACCTCTGGTCCCAAGGGCTCCAGGTACTGGTGGGGCAGGACAGAGACATCAAATACCCATTTCAATGCAGGTGTCTCTGGACAGTTTTTGGCACAAGGGCCATTCCCCAGTGCCCTGCAGTGACTCTGTCCACCGGGAAATTTTTAATGCCTAATTTGGGCTAAACACCAATCTTTTTTCCCCCTCATCCAGCTTCTGGAGAGGGAAGGGAGGTCACCACACGAGCGGTTTTTACAGCAGAGCACACCACCTCTCATCTCAGCATGTCCCCCACCATCTTTCTTACTTTAAACCTTCCCTTTGTTCAGTGCAGTAGGTGATCCCCGGGCAGATGAACCATGTCGGGCAACAAAGTCTCAAGGCAAAAGCCCTGCCATCACTGCAAGAGCAGGTCCACGTCAACCCCACCAGAGACCTCCACAATACACTATGAGAAGTTCTGGCTGTACCGTCACTGCTCTTCAGTGCAGCAGAGTGACAGGCAAGCTCAGAAAGCTGGGCAGCTCTTCTCAGGGCTGCTGGCCATGAACGTGGTGTTTCTGGGCAGCGCCTTCATCAGCAGTATGATTTTCAACCACGTGGCCATCACACTGGCAGATGTCTGGATCCTGCTCTCCATCCTCAAGGTCTTGTGCCTGTGCTGGATCATCTACTACCTGCTGGGCACCAGCCGGCAGCCGCACGCAGTGCTGCACCGCGATTCCCACGCTGCGCCCATCTGGATCAGGGGTAAGTTCTGCTTTTATTTATCATGCTTTCCCCCTTCTTTGCAGTGCTTGGAAGATAAAGAAATTCTTCCCCTATTACTAAAAGAGCTAGAAGCCACAGAAGATGTAGTTAGGGCACTGGGAATCTCAGCTTGTGGTGTGAGGCTGGGGGAAGACATGGGCATAGTGGAGGCCACAGAGGAACCAGAGCAGCCAGGAAAGCCATGAACTTGGATACCCTTCAGCCTTCAGTCCAACTTTACTGTGTGGCCTCTTCCCAAAGCACAACCCAGGCATCTCCCACCTGCAGCCCAGCAACTGAGCATGGTGGGAGAGATGAAGGTTTTAGGCATAACCACTTTGCAAAGTGAGAGGAGAACCACTAGGTTTACCCTCCAAGTGTGTCAACGGCCCCATGCCACCCGCACCCTTACTTAACATCACAGCAATCCTGTTTCCAGGGAGATTTCTGGCGTGTGAGTCACATCCCAGTGACACCCAGGCTTTTCTGGGAGATTTCCCATCAGTAGTTGCCCCACTTTGTGAAATGACACTTCTCCAAGCAGCCCTGCCTCTGGTCTATTATGGAATTTCTAATTAGCGCAGTCTTGTCAGCTAAGCACAGAGAAGTAAAGGGAAGAAAGCAACAAGGTACCTGAGTACCTAAAGCTGCAGAGAGGCTTTCATCCAAGGCACACGGGAGAATCAATTAAAGGGTCCGAACATCTGCAGACAGGTGCTGTCAAAGGCCTCAGCAGAGCTGCGTTCATCTCGGGTTTTCTCCACAAGGCAGAAACCACCACCTGCCATTAGCTTACCTCTGTCACTCTAGATTACACAGAAAAGGCAAAAAACCCTCTTCCTACATTGTATACAAGCACAAGAAAATACCTTGCATTGTCTGAGCATCTTAAACCAGCCAAAGCACACAACCATGTCCAGGAATGAGGCTCTCCTTTGACCCTTTCTCTCAGAATCATGAGACTTCCAGATGGGAAGGCCTCCAGCTCCACTCAAATCCAAGAGGCATGAGGGCTCCAGTCCCCAGGTGGGCTCAGATGCTCCCCAGACACATCTCTGTTTATTTACTGGTGCTTTTGCTGTTTGCCCAGGGTCAGTGCTGCTGTTCGGCAGTTTCAGCATTCTCCTGAACGTGTTTCAGATCGGCTACAGCGCGATTCTCATCCAGTGCAAATCCAGGGTGGAAATTGTGTTCCCCAGCATTGAAATCCTTTTTATTTGCACCCAGGTATGGCGTGTTACCCTTTTAGAAGCTTGTTTACTTTTTTTTGTCCCATTCCTGGGAGCCCAAGGGGTGGGGGGAAGTGGGGAGACTTGGGAAAGTGGGTGCACGTGAGGCATTCTCATAAGCATTAAAGTCATTAAAGTATCACATGCCATTTCAAATACCACCCCACTCCTCATGTGCCAGACTGAGAAAGTAGTAAGATTTAGAAAGAAATCACTCTAGCAATACCTGACATACTGCAGGATCCAGAGGAGTTTGTTTTGAAGCATCAAAGCAGAGAGAGAGGAGAGGAAATGCCAGATTTTGCCAGAGATGTCTTTGCACCAGTCCGAGACGCAGCCTCTCTATTTATTAACGCATCTTCCCAAACAAAACCCTTTGTGCACAAAAATAGCTCACATTTGCAACTTGTTACCCTGATATTAATCATCATCTTTCCAGGCCCAAAGACATTTTTGAAAAGTAAAGTAGTTCCCATCTCAGCAGCAAATACCCACATATACAGGACAGGGAAAGCAGATTGCCTGGATCTGCATTAGGTGCAGGCACCTAAGGATGCCAGCACATGCCTCAACACCAAGATGCAGGTGCACACATGCCCCAGCAGCACTTGCACAGAGGCAGGTTTGCTCCCACTCAGACATGTGCCTTCTTGCTTGCCTGTCCCTTGCCACCACGTGTGCGGCAGGCTGCCAGCTTCACTCTGCTCACATATTATTATTGATTTGCAGGCTTTTTTTCTGTGGCATCACTCTAAAGACTGCATTCAAGTCCAGCACAACTTCACCAGGTACAAAGAGGGGGGAAAAATTGCCTTCTACTCCTCTAAAGAAACTCTTCCTTTCTATCTGCTTATGCTTATTTCTGCTAGAACTGTCTTCATCTGATCTTACACAGACTCTCTACACTCTGCATCACACAAGAACCAAGCTATGACTTGACCAGACCCATCCTCCCTCCACTGACCTCGGGTTACCAGCTCCGTTAGGATTTCTCTTGTGCCCTGGAGCACTGCAAAGCTTGTTGATTCCTCCTAACCCCAAATACCTTCCTGCTGCACAGCTCAGGGACAGTTCACTGACTGGAGAATGAGGTGGGGTGGCCTCCCCATTCCCATCACTGGGAGATGTCTCAGCTTTCCCACCCTCAACTGCACCCAGACCTTGGCCAGTTTCACCAGCACTGCCTGCCCTGCTCCTTTGGAAATGGCCAAATGGGAAGCTACTCAGCCCTACTTGTGTGTGCAAAGCCACACTCCAACACCCATATGCAGATCAGGCACAAAGGCACTGCGTGCGCACGTTTGTGCACGCATCTGTGTACGGGGAAGTAAGAAGCAAAAGGCAGCACCACATGGCAGATGGACACATAGGTCATAAACAATCTCCACAAGCAACATGCTGTAGAAGTGCCTTTCTCTTCTCCCAGGTGTGGGCTGATGCTGACCATAGCCACTAACCTCCTCCTCTGGCTCTTGGCGGTGACCAACGACACCATTCACATGGAGATTGAGTCTCAGCTGCGTGAGGTGGAGCAGCGATTTGCAGGCAAGGCTCTTTTTTTCACGTCCCTCTGTGTTAGGCTGATTTAGATGACTTCTAGACAGACAACAGTTCTTGATCACAGCAATTCAGATATCACAATCAGTTCCCCCAAATGCTGCAACTTCCCTGTTACTGGAGGTTGTCTCAAAGAGATGGGCTGCAAGGGGAGAACATCTTCACCTGGAGTTGAGGATCTGTTATAAAACCCTGGAACTGAGGGCTAGGAAAGGAAAAACCCACCATAAATTAGCATTTTTGCTCACATTTACCTATCAACTGCAAGCAAAAGATTGTCAGACCAGAAAAGACTCAAACGTAATTGTTGTGGTTTTCTTTCTGAGGATACAGGGGAAAAGGGGAAACTAATATTCCAAGGGAAGAGATAGAGGAGGCTTCACTATGAAGAAAGGGGTGTCTCTCTCATCCAGCACCTATGTTATTGTATTTAGGAAGAGACATTTGCTAAACCCTGTTGTTCTGAATCCTGACAGCCTTGAGGGCTGAGTGGTAATCACTTCACTTCCTACTGATGGCTCTTTCTGAGATAGAGACAGATGTTGTGCCTGCACTCAAGAAACTCCCAAAGATAGCCATGAAATCCAGGCCATCTCCCTCTTAATTGTTGCCTTCCTCTTCTCATGCTCCAGGCAATGAGACTGCCTCATGCACATGCCCAAACACAACCATCTGCAAAATCTTTCAGAAGGGCTACATCCTGCTCTACCCCTTCAACACCGAGTACTGCCTCGTCTGCTGCTCCGTGCTGTATGTCATGTGGAAGAACGTGGGGAGACGCATCAGCCACCACCACGTCCCTCACATCAAGCCCAAGTTCAAGCTCCAAGGGGTGGTCTTTGGGCCACTGCTGGGCGCCGCTGCTGTAATCATTGGGATCTGTGTCTTCATGATGTACCAGATCCAGGCCACCGGCTCAGCCCCCAATCGCCAGGTCTTCGTGATGTATTATTCCTACTACATTGTGCTCCTGCCCCTGATGAGTGTGGGCGCAGTGATTGGGACAATCATCCACGCCTTGGAAAAAAGGGAGCTGGACACACTGAAGAACCCAACCCGCAGCCTGGATGTGATCCTGTTGATGGGGGCAGCCCTCGGCCAGATCGGCATGTGCTACTTCTCCATTGTTGCCCTTGTGGCCACTGACCCCAGGGACCTGTTGAACAGTCTCATCCTGTCCTATTCTGTTCTCCTCATCTTTCAGAACATCACCCAAAATGTCTTCATTATTGATGGGCTTCACCGGCAACCCTTTGTAGCAGCAGCTGAGGCCATACACACAGGACACATTGGGCAGCATGCAGCAGCTTCAGAGTTACCTAGTGAAGAGGAAACCACGACAAGCAGCGAACAGGAGCACACGCAGATGTCTCCTGGCAAAGAGGAAGAAATAAAAGAAGAGCAGAATCACGAAGCCCACAGCCAGAGACGAGTGAGCATGCTGGAGCTGGGACAGGAGATTCGGAAAGCTTCTCTGTCCTATATCCACAGCTACTCTCACCTGAATTGGAAGAGAAAAGCATTAAGGGAGATCTCGTTCTTCTTGGTTTTGTGCAACATCATAGTAAGTATTGCTCTCGCTGCCATGTCATAGCTTTGCTGAGCCATGATGACCTGTGATACCAATGTGCTCTCTTTGTCTTTCTCTTGAACTGCTATTCCAGACAGAAAACCTTTTCCCAGTTTCAACATACTGGTGAGGCAAGTCAAGACTGGTTTTGCTGCTTATCCCCCACTCATAAGGTCTCTCTTTTAACCCAGAAGTCAAATATGGCTACGTTTCCTGGGTGCAGGAAGGAGACAGCTAATAAAACTTAAGTACCAAAATTTTAAACTCTGAAAAAGTTAGCAAACTCATTAATGGTGTTTCATGGAGAAACACGAGGCACAAGCAGTGAATCTTTGTTAAGGACAAGTCTCCAGAATTGAAACTCACCCAATAAAGTACACAGTGCTCTGGGATCTTGAATTAACAAGGATCTTCACTGAAGCCTTAATCCAGTGGAAACAAATTGGCCAAGGAAATAGTGAGATTCTGTGAAAAGAGGAAGCTGGCAGGGGCAGAATGAGGCTATCATTAAGTTTCCAGGAATCTGACAGGATTTGACTTATAGCAAAGAGTCAGCAGCATAACTAGGGGATTCTCCTTCTCTTCCCTGGCTAGGAGACTCCTCTGAAACCCCTGAAATATTCCTACAACAATTTAGGCCAGCGCTGAGATTAGAGTGCAGGTAGGAGACAGTTTGTCATCCTCTGACGTGCTCTTTTTTCCTTACATCTCTTTAGCTGTGGGTCATGCCCACATTTGGGGCTCACCCTGCCTTTGAGAATGGACTGGAAAAGACATTTTACGGCTACTCCACCTGGTTTGTGATCGTGAATTTTGGCCTCCCACTGGGTGTGTTCTACCGAATGCACTCCGTCGGGGGACTCCTGGAGGTCTACATCACAGCCTGAACCAAGCTGAATCCCCACCCAGAGGCTGGGGTGAAATAATGATGCTGAACAAAGATGCAGTAAGCAGCAGATATGTACATTGAATTTTCCTCTTCATCTTCTACTTTGACTTCTTGCACAACATCTCCATGAGTTTCAGAAGAAAAGGAAGTTGGTTTATATGGCTTTGAGTCTATGGTGAAAAAAATAATATAAACAAACTATCTTACTGCTCTAAGGAAGTGTGCATGCTGGTACTTTTCAGTAGTCTGCCAACAGATGCCCTATGGTAGCTACTGGGACTTTATCAGCTCCTATTGAAATCTTCCAGATAAAAGAATGCAAGAGCAGCCTTCAACAAAAGCAACAAAGATTGACCTACACTCCACAGAACTTCAAAAATCCACAGTCAAGGACCACCAGCCCCACCACGGCTCAGCAACCCACCATCCTGCAGCACAGAAGAGACATATCAGCACCAGCCACACCAGAAGCACATACAGTTACACTCATTCAGAAATGAGCCAAACCTACACTTTTTATGTGCAGTTTTCAAAAGATGCTGGTAGCTGCTTTAACAGTCAGAACAGGGACTACTTCTGTTTGTTCCTGGTGCTGACACCTGGCACATCAACTTGTACAAGTCTCGCAGGACCCAGCCCCACTGCTTTTGCAGCTCTAGGTACCAAAGAGCAGGACAGGCCTTCAGACTGGTTCAGTGCATCTCCTCCCATTCTCCAAAACAGAAGCTCTAACGTTACCTTGCCATTCTGAGAATAAACACTGTTTCTTCTTACAGGCACTCACAGAGCCTCAAGTGAGAAGCACTAGAGAAGTACTGTGCCTGGTCCCTGACACCACACCAGTGTGTGCTAGCAAAGGGCCCACCCTTGCACACAGAGCTAGTTCAAGAAAGAGCTACTGCTCAATCTACTGTGAATCCCTCCCTACCCCAACACTTTGATCCACAAATCGTTTTGCAAGGTGCACTGTGTGTAAGGGAACACAGCTGCACAGCGTGGTGCGTGATCCAAGACCCGTTAGTACTTGTTGCACAGGAGATGCTGGCTTTGACAGCACACAGGAGAGCAAGGGGGCTTGTGACTGTGGGTCCCAGATACAGATCCTGGTGAATGGAAATAAAGAGAGATTCATTTGTCATGTGTATCCTGTGAAATCTCTGGGCCTGCTCTGCACTCAAAGACCAGACTCAAAGTCTGTTGACATTGACTTACACCACTCCTGTGATCAGAGGTTGTATGAGATTTAAGGGCAGGCCTCGTTCTACAAATCAATCAAAATCTTTCATGACTCTTAAACAAGGCAAAATAGCACAGTACAAAAGGCATCTACATTATTGCTTCTGTTCCTCTATAAATCAATCCCAGAAGCAGTGTGGGTTTAGAATCAGAGCTTATTTATGAGGGGGATTTGCAATCCCCTAGAAAAGCAAACTCTGCCAAGACAGCAACAATGATGAGAGCTACAAACTTCTAAGCACACATGTCCCACTCCCCTTAGGATTCAGCATTCAGGCAATGATAGCACCTTTCTGTGAAACTGTGAGAATGATTGCATGAGCATGAACTTTGCCCAGTAAGTGTTTTTACTTAGGCCTATGTCAACAGAAATATGTCATGAGAAATAACAGCTGGATAAATTAGGCTCCAATAAAGTTAATTATTATTCTCACGTCACAGTTTGTACCAAGGGATCTACAGGAGACATATGTGAAGGTCTGGCCCTTTTAAATGATGAATGGGATCTCAAACCCTCTTCCTGGTTATTGACAGCTTGGAGACAAGAAATGCTGTACTTCATGGGCAAACCCATGACCTGGATTTTATTTGCAGTGTAATAGATAAAACTCTGTTTAAGTTACTGAGCCTTTGCTGAGCACGTAACTTTGGATGTCTCCCACTAAGGTATAAATACTGGGTCCCGTAGGTACTGTGTACAAGTATGAACTGAAAGAGAAGTCAGTTTGTGATTGCATGCTGGTAAACAGATGGACTGCCTGAATACATGATTAGCACAAACAGGGATGAAACCCACCAGCTCTAACTCTTACTCACAGCCACTATAGATGAGGGAAGAGATCAAGGCCCTCTGCATCATTTCCTGTCAACACCCAGTTCTAACAATTCAGGTGAAGGTAAGAACTCCCACGACAGTCAACAGCAGAAGCACTCTTCCAGACCAAAGTGAAATGTAGGGTCCAAGGTTTCAGCCTTTTCACTTAGGAGGGTTCTATCTCAGGACTGATCTGTGTCTACTACCTCCAGGAGGGGTAAAACCACGAACACATTGTTTGTATGCAGCTAAAACTGCCTTTGGCTCTTCACAAGACTGACAGCAGGGCCAGGCACAGTAATCCAAAAACCTCGTGAGAAGTGAGCTAGCTGTGATCCGTGAATCCGACACAGCCGTGACATGCAGTGGCCCACCTGCTCCTTTGTCACCTGTCACCTGTGAGTGACATCCAGAGTTCTCCCAGGGTCCTCCCAGGGCCATGGTGCCTGGTTTATGGGTGCAACTGCACAAAGGTTTTAGTACATGGTTCACAAAGTCAGGAGACTTGATCCTGTTTGATCCAGTTCTTTTTCTGTGCCTTCTAAGGCCATTGCCTTTGATGATGTCTCATGCCATAAATACAGAAATGGCCAAAACCACACAGTTCAGGCTCATTTTCCAGAGTCCAGTCTTCATTTCTGATTCCAAAATAAATCCACACACCACAGAGGAAGCCAGCACATGGTGTGTGTAGCAAAAATCATCCCAGCATAAGACAAACAAGATTATAAACATTTCTGGGAAAAAAAATAAGCAACCAACTGCATGTTTCAGATAATCTTTATCTTTCTCTCTGTAAGTAAGCAAATAGTTTACAGTGCAAGTTGATTCCACAGGACAAGGATCAGACTCCAAACACCAAGAAACAAACAAGAAGGTTTCCAGAGAAAATCACAAAGAAACAAAGCAGAAAAGAGAGGATGGAAGAGATCATGAGAACCAGCAGATCCATGGGAGGGAAGAGGCAAGCACGTGGGACACAGGATGCCCCATTCCAGCTGTGAGCTGCAAGTGCCATACAATCAGAGGCTGGCCCCACCAAATCACATTCTGATATATGAGAGAGATTCCAAGTAAAACAGAGACCTCACCCTGCTTACATCCGAACAGAGATGGGGTCAGGATGGGAGTAGTGCTAGACGGCAAAGTGGGTTGGAGATGGGAGGCGGGTGGGGGAATAACCTCTATTTCACATATTTCTTATCCTTCAGAAAACCATTCAGGTTTTATTTCAGCTTTTTACTGGCCTGGGACTCCAGTCCACTTTCAGTGCCCCAAGAAGGAAACCACCTGACTACAAGTTAGCAGGAGCCAGCAGTACACTAGAGTGGCACTCTCGAGGAGAGCATGGTCACGTTGCTATCGCTCTAGCTTCAAAACTTAGGCAAGGGTTACAAGACACAGAAGTGTGCACCATATCTGTCCCCTTACTTTAAGGTGTGAGACCAGTTTCCATGGAGTGATCCACTGGTTCTAGGCTGTGGCAAACAGCACATAGCCAGTGACCCTCCCAAGAGCCTGAATACCAGAGCATCAAGGACTAAGCTTTGGTGGAAAGGGAAGGGTATCCATTCATGACAGAACCCCTAATGTTTCGTTGTCTAAAGACCACATGGGTCTAAAACAACAGCCCCTCCCAGCAGAACACAAAATTTGACTCAAACCCCAGGATGTCTCCACCTACCAATGTGCAACCCCATGCTGCTGAATCAAGCCAGCAACAGCAGGTCTCCCACAAATTCTAATTCTGGCTTCCCAGACCTTGCATGCTTGGGACCCAATACATTCAAGATCTGGTAACTTGGTCACTAGCAAAATGCCCTGAAGAACTGAACTTTGCTTCAGCACTCTCCACTCCCTACTGACATGGAGATGCTTTTCCTCCTACAACTTCCCTGAGTGCCTCCTTCAACCCCCTGCCTTAGACAGTAGTGTGCAAAAGACCCTTCCACTCCCTGCACTGCATCAGCCTGCCAGGCAAAGATGGAAGGATATGGTTCCTTTCAAACCCAGGTGACACTGCCCTTTCAGTCAACGGGAGAAGACTAGAAGAGCTGAACAGTCACATCTCTTCTCCTTGCTCTCACTGAGCCAGTCTCTCCCTCCCTGTGTGCTCAGATGGATTAAGCAGGGCTTGCCAAAGTGACAAACAGCCCACCATGAAGGACAGGGTGCTGGGCCTGAAAGCCAAGGAAAAGTCATGCCACACCAAAGCACTGGCTACTACATAACTTCTTAAGCAGCTTTCCAGGAAAGGAGTATAGAGATTCAGAACTGAGACACAAAGTTTTCCTTCAGCAACTTCTCCTTTCATTCAGATGGGAAAGACTTCCCTACCAATATGCAACTGAGACACCAGGGAGACACCTGCAGCCAGAAGGGATGCCCCGGAAACATTATGGAGCCACAGGAAAGTAACTGCAGCTTCCAAACCCCATCTCCTGCAGGAATAGCAGCTTCTCCCTTGAACCCAATTTATAGCTAGTCTTTTTCAATTAAATGCTGACTCTGACCAGAGCAAGGACAGGGTCAGATTGGTTTCCAAACCACATCCAGGAGCTAAAGAGTAACAGAAGAGCTAAGAACAGTCTGATTTCTAGTGCAACCACAACAATGGACAATCCCTTCAACATCTTTCACTCAAGGTTCATGGTGAAGGGTGAGGGAAGAGAAGTGAGCTGGGGGGAGGGATGTCCAAGCAGGTCCCAATTAAAGCTTTAAATGACAGGGAGGTAAATGAAGTGATTGTCCTTTTGGTCTCTCAGCTGGATGTGAAATGCAGGAATAGCTGTGACGAAGCAGCACACAGCAGTCCTTAGATCCAGTGTATTTCTCTTAGTAGAGGTAAGTGCTCTCTTAGACCCGTTGAATTTCAAACAGCTTCACATCTGTGTCATACCAGATAGGGGGATCCACATTCCTGAGAGAGAAAGACAAGCGCCACGTTACTCTCTGTGGCCAGGTACATAGAATTCAAACCTCAAAGCCAAGATTACAGGAGCTGGCTACACAGAATGCCTTCCACTTTGCAA